GGGGTGAACACCACATTCTTGTATACATTAATATACACAGATCAGGAGCAAGCTGAGGCATGTGTAAGCCTGAGTCAGTCTGAGCATGACCAGTGTATTCATTTGTTACACAGAAGATTAGGTCATATGGGGTATAATCTAATTAAAAAGACAATAAAGCACTCATTTGGATTGAAGGTTGTGTCCTTAGATTGCCCAAACTATTTAAACTGTGAGGTTTGTCAACAAATAAACAAACAGTAAAGTTGCACCAGTTGCTAAACATTAGCAATAGGCAAACAGATCACCCTTTTCAGATTGTGGCTGCAGATCTTATTCAACCCATGCCAAAATCGCTAGGTGGTGTGAAATGTGTGTTAAATATCATAGATCACCACAGCAGATATTCATTTACTTACCCTTTGCATTCAAAAGATGAGACAACAAAAACTAAAAAACTGGGTAGAATTTGTGGATCGTAAATACCAACCTCATAAAGTGGAAGAAATCCACAGATAGAGGCACAGAATTTACAAACAATGCTTTGTCTATTTGGTTGAAAGCCAATGGTATAAGACAATGATCAACATATGTGGTTACACCTGCAGAAAATGTATTAATTGAGAGGCAGAACGTAGACTGCAAACTGTAATGGAGGCTCTACTGAAAGATGCAAGTCTTCCATTTTCATATTGGACTGAGGCCTTCAAGGTAGCCAAATGTTTAATAAACCGTGCATATAGGGATGTAATAAAGAAAACACCCTATGAAAAGCTGTACAATAGAAAGCCAAATCTGGCACATTTGAGAATTTTTGGGACCAACTTCTGGGCAAATGTACCCAAAAAGTTTAGGAGAAAGGGCCAGTCCTGTGCCCAAAAAGTGATTATGTTAGGTTATGAACCAGGACAAAAAACAGATTATATTGTCCTGATAAAAGACTCATATTTTCTTGCTCCATCAGTTTTAATGAGCAAAACTGGAGCAAAATAGATATGAGCAGTTCTCCTGTGTCAGTGCCTGCAAGCTCAGATGAGACACCACACCACAAGGCTAAGCAGGAGATAAAGGAAAGTAAACACTCAGAGACTGAAGAGCAAAAAGTGTGTCAAAGTTCAGACAGTGAGGAAAAGAGTTCTTCAAGAGATTCCAGACAGGCGATATTAAGGAGGTCTGAAGTAGTAAAGGGATCGCACCTAAGAGATTTGGACAAGTAACAATTTATAATTGAACAGTTCCTCAAAAATATGAAGAGATACAAACATTACCTAAAGCAGAACAAATTAAGTGGAAAGCTGCTATGCAGACAGACATGGACACTCTGAAGCAGAAGAGAGTGTTTGTTGAAACACAATTGCCAGCCACTAAGAAAGCAATAGGATGTAGATGGGTGTTTAAAATTAAAAATGGTGATGCTGAAAACATCTACAAAGCGAGACTTGTGGCTAAAGGATTTTCACAAGTAAAATACTCTGATTTTGATCATGTATTTTCATCGACAGTAGCCAGCAGATCTATAAGAATGCTGTTCACTCTTGCCAAATTGCAAGGTTGGCATACCAGACAAGTGGATATCAAAACAGCATATCTTAATGCTTCGCTCAATGAGCAAATTTTTATAGAGACACCGCCTGGCATATTCAAAATCAATGAAAACGTTTGGTTATTAAAAACGGCATATGGACTACGTCAAAGCGCTAAAGAATGGAATACATGTTTGACCACAACTTTGTAAGAATTAGGGTTAACACCAAGCAAAGCAGATCCTTGCGTATTCAGCAAATTAGAGAATGGGATTTGTACCAACTTTGTAGCAGTCTTCGTTGATGACGACTGCTATAAATTTGGTACAAAAAAAAAACAAGTCATTGAAATGTTAGAGAAAGTGAACAAGAAATTTTAACTTATAGATCTTGGTCCAGTACATAAGTAATTAGGAACATGTATTGAGGAGGGACTAAATGGAGAGATTATATGGCACAAAAAGCAAAAAATACTGGAATTTATTGAAAAATTCAATATGCAGAATTGTAAGGGTATCGGAACTCCAACGGAAGTGAATTTCCAAAGCATTAGGCATGAGGATAGTCCTCAATGTGATGTGACATGGTATGAATCCTTTATTGAGGGTTTATAATAGTGCATGATCCAGACTAGATAGAGCCAATCCTGTTAATATATTGCGTATACCTTTAAATTGTCCAAAAATATGCACTGGAAAGCAGCAAAAAGAATATTCAGATATTTAAAAACAACTGTGAATTATTGTCTAGTGATAGATCCACAAGGTCAACCAATATTAGAAGTGTTCTCAGATGCAAGTTGGGCAGATTACCTTACAGCTAGAAAATCTACCTCAGGAAACATCCTTAAACTAGCAGGAGCTCTCACTGACTGGAAGGTGTCAAAGCAGAGTTATGTGGCTTTATCCACTGCAGAAGCTGAGTATGCAGCTTTTTCGTAAATGTGTATAACTGTAGAAATTATGACACAATTACTACAAGATTTAAATGTGGATATTGACAAGCCAGTAACAATATTTGAAGACAAGCAGACTTGCATTTGCATGGCAGAGTCAGAGGTTGACAAGACCAGAAAAAACACGTGGGCATTAGATACAGAAAGGTAAAGGAAGCAGTTCAAGGGAAATTATTTGAACTGAAGTGTTGTCCGACGGATGAAATGGTAACAGACATACTGACCAAACCACTGGGAGTAATAAAACATTACCAAATGTTAGAGAAAATTGGTTTGAAAGAAATATAAAGTATGTTGCATTGTTAAAATGATTTGAGCAATATGTATTTTGGTATGTGTAAATGAGAATGTAATTATGGTACAAGACAATTAAGAGGGATATCAGCATTTTGTTTAAAAAATGAATAATCTTGTAGGATTATGGGAAACTGGCAAAGGCTGAGTCATTCAGGTTGGCACTTGGCATATGCTGAAAAGAACACTCTGCCTACAGTTAAGCATGGTGGTGGTTCAGTAATGCTCTAGGGCTGCTTTGTATCCTCTGGAAACTTGCAGCATGTGGATGGATTCATTGAAGTATCAGGAAATCCTAGAAGAAAATGTCATGCCATCTTTGAGGAAGCTGAAACTTGGGTGTCTTTGGACCTTCTGACAGGACAATGATCCCAAGCAAACCTCAAATTCCACCAAGGCTTGTTTGCCAAAGAAATCCTGGAATATTCTACAGGACTTGAATCTCATAGAAAATCTCTGGTGGGATTTGAAGAAGGCAGCTGCTGCACACAAACCCAAGAATATTACTGAACTGGAGGCCATTGGTCATGAGGAATGGGTGAAGATTCCTCAGGAATGCTGCCAGAAGCTGGTGTCTGGCTATGCATCTCATTTGCAGCAAGTCATAACAGCAAGTAGAGCATAACACTGCTCTACTAAGTACTGAAGTGTGGCATCCATCCTTGGCATGAAGGGATTGAATAATTTTGAGACAGCAGGATTCATTAGAAGTTGTATTTTAAGTTGAATTTGGGGAAACCACTTCATTGTTCTAATTTTATTTGATTTATTCATTGCAAACAGCTGAAAGTCTGTAAATGGGGGTTGAATAATTTTGATTTCAACCATAGGTGTCAGTCCCGGCTCAGTATCAAGTGGGTACCTGTGAGAACACCACAAAATGTGGAAAGTCACATTTCTTCTATTCTCCAATAGAAAAGGTGCAACTTGTTATCATTCTCATCATCATAATAAGTGATCATTACAATTAGCATCACCCTTCTTATTGCTAGTATCATAACTGTTTATTAGCTGAAATTCTGTTGCTTTAACTTATGCCACTTAAGGTTGATGACATCTGTTTTTCACTACTAGCTTGCTAGAGAAAGCTCAGCAAAGTTAAAATATTCCCTATTTTTCACTCATCTTCTACAATCATAAATTGTAGCCTTCACTGATGAGAGAGGTATGGCATACTAGTTGTGAAAAACTAGGTCAAACTGTACAAACAGGACTATTGTACAGTTTAAATATGCCAGGTGCTCTGTGAGGCAAATATCTTATTCAAACTGTAAGTGATAAAACAACAAGGTGATGTAATATAAATCTGATTATAATCAACAATGCCCAGATTCCTGGCGGTGTGAGCATGTCCATTTGCCCTATAGTGCTTCTTCATACTCTCCACATGTTTAAAAACATGAGAAAGGGCTAGAACATGGTCTCTGTGCTGCAGTAGAAGCAATTGAACAGAGTTCAGCAGGAGTAATTTGCATGAATGGATTGGAGTCACTGTTGAAATTAAGCACACATGGAGAGGGAGCAATTACCCCTTTAACACTTTATTAGTTGAAGATGGAATTTTAAAAAACTGGATGTGTTAGATACATTTCTGCTATCATAACATGGGAAGAATATAAACATTTTAACTGTTTTAAAGGATCTATACTCTATTGGTATCTTTTGATATCATATAACTGATGGCACCTTTCCTTGAGCTCTGTTAATATAGGCTGGGTTGGAAATTTTATAATGATAAATAATAACTAAATAATACAGATTTGAACTTAGATCAAGTGTGATGTAGGAAAATCAACATTTTCAGGAGCTATGTGACATTCTTGTGCTTGGTTTCTATTTAAACCTACCAAAGATACAAATATGTCTCATGACGTTTACCAGCCACCAACCAGCTGAAATCCTATTGTGCAACTTTATGCTTTATGAATCTAATGATGTCATTAGCTCTGGTGGTTTCTTTCAGAAATCAGAAATGCCCAATGCCATCCCAGCCCTTAGATCTCAAATCTCCCTTGGATCACTTTCATTGTGAGAAAGCTGTAGGGGCTGTGAGCGGGGGATAGATTTATTTTTACAAACTGCTGTGGCTGATGACATAAATGTAAAGCTGTGCAACAAGATTCCACCCAGTGAATGAGATCTGCAACATGCAACTCTGCCATCAAAACTGTGAATCAGAACAGAGGATTGTGTGACAAAATGGTAATGTGAATTAATGAAATGTCATGGACAAACAGACATATACCTACCAATGCACCCTTAGGTCCTGGCGCACCTGGCAAACCATCCTGACCTGGTCTTCCTTCTCTACCGGGAGCACCGGGAACTCCAGGGAAACCAGGATTTCCCTTTTCACCCTTTAAATTTGAGTCAAAGAAAATATCTCCAGGTTCTCCTTTTGCTCCTGGGCTTCCCATCAATCCAGGTAAACCTGGAAGTCCCTGAAATCACATTCAATTACAACATCATTAAACCCATGAAATCTACCATAAAATGTTTGCTCACAGTTTTTAATAAGTCTTAGATTTAATTTCTGACTAGTCAAGTGACAAATCAAGAATTAACAGTATTGCTCATATTCCAAATTTGTATAGCAGTTTTGGTTGTACCCTGATAGTCCAGAAACACTGGAGTGTCACTCTTCAATGGAGTGCCACTCTTCAATGGAGGGACTATATCCAGATCTAATAGCATCAAGAAATATTCAGGATTTACCCAATGCAGTCTTTATTTATTTACTGAAAATATTTTTAACCTGCCTTTCTCCTTAAAAAGGACCCAAGGTGGCTTACAACAATTGAAAGACAGTATTTAATCTAACAATACTGAGTATACACTACTGATTGGCCAAAACACACACACACACACACACACACACACAAGCAACACCAAAGCATATTCAAAGCAGTAATATACAACAATCCATTAAAAACCCAACTCAGGCACATATTCACTTAGGGAAAGCTTGCCTGAAGAGAAAAGTCTTCGCCTGCTTGCAGAAGGACAGTAAAGATGGGGCCAGCCTGGCTTCCTGCGGAATGGGGTTCCACAGTCTTGGAGGAGCAACAGGGAAGGCCCTTTCCCATGTACCTACCAAATGCACCTGTGAAGGTGGTGGGGTTGGGAAAAGGCATCTCCTGATTATCTTAATACTTGATCAGGCTCATAAAGGAAGACGTGGTCTTTGAGATAGCCTGGGCCCAAGCCATTAATTTATTATTTATTTATTTATTTAATTTATACCCCACCCATCTGGTCTTCCGACCACTCTGGGCGGCTAAAATTAAATGCTTTATAAGTGAGAACCAACATTTTGAATTCTGCCTGGGAATTGCCAGTGGAGCTGTTGTAACATGGAAGCTATGTGATCCCTGTGATCATCCTCTGTTAGTAAATCTGGCTGCTGCATTTTGGACCTATCAAAGTTTCCTGACACATTCCACAGGCAGGCTCACATAGAGTGCATTATAGTAATTCAGTCAAGACGTAACTAAGGCATGTGTCACCATGACCAATTGAGACTTCTCCAGGAATGTGCGCAGCTGGAGCACTAATCTTAATTGTGCAAATGTACTCCTGATTATCACCAAAAACAAGGCATCCCGGCTCAGTGATGAATCCAGGGGCACCCCCAAGCCACACACCTGTGTTTTCAGAGGGAGTGTAACTATAGGCTGAAGCCCTATTCCTTGATCTGTCTTCTGACAGACCAGGAGTACCTCTGTCTCACCTGGATTAAATTTCAATTTTTCCACCCTCATCCAATCCATTACTGACGCCTAACACTGATCTACAGCCAAAACAGCTTCCTCAGATTTAGATAGAAAGGAAGGCTAGAGATGGATAGAGATGTGTATCATCCACATACGGGTGACACTGAACTCCCAACCCAGAAAACCTCTCCCAGCAGTTTCACGTAGACGTTAAGTAGCACAGAAGACGCAATAGTACCCAATGGCCAGGGTGTGAGACAGAAGCCCCCTAGCGGAACCTTCTGAGTTCTCTCCTGCAAGGACCAGAACCACTATAAAACAATGCCTCCAAGTCCAATCTCAGAAAGACAGGCCAGAAGTATACCATGGTTGATCTTCTTCTAAGAGATCCAGCAGAACAGGGACACAAGCCCCTTGTTCTTGGTGTAGGACATCCCATCAAAGTGAACAAAGTAATTTCTGTCCCATAACCAGGCCCGAAGCCTGAATGAAATGAATCAAGATAACCTGTCTCATCCAGGAACCCCTGGAACTGAGAATCCTCAACCCTTCCAACTCAAGGACAGACTATTAGAAACTGGTTAATAATTATTTGGTATTGTGAGATCTAAGGACGGCTCTTTCAACAATGGTTATAATATTGCTTCTTTTAAGCGTGCTGGGGTCCTACCCTGTCACAAGGAGGCCTTCACCACTCTGTCTGCCCACTGAACCAGTCCCTTTTTGGCAACTTTTATAAGCCAGTAAGGGTTCAGTCCATATCATCAGGCTTCAGAAAGTGAAACTCATCCATCAACACAGGGCAAACAGGGAGCATAGTTTTATTCACAGTATCTGTATCAACTACAGCATCCAAGTCAGAGTGGATCCAAGTAACTTTGCTTGCAAAGTGTTGTGCAAATGCTTCACAGTGAGCTATAGTGTTGTCTGCATTCTTTTCCTTTGGGCTGTGATATAATTGGCCCTTAACCACTAAAAAGAGCTCTGCCTGATGACTCTGTGCAGATGCAATGGTACCATGGAATAGGACTTTCCATGTGCCCTAGCTGGCATTCAATCAGATTCACTCCATGTTTTCTGCCATTGTTGCTCAAATCTATGTCCCACCCTTCATTACTGTCAGCTCCTCAGTAATCTAGGTAGCCAATTTGGCTCTAATTGGTGGGAGGAGATGTTTAAGAGCAAATGTGTCCTTGTAGAAAGAAAACCTTCCAAATGCAGGGAATTTAGATTTAGGGGCACTTTCAAACAAATTCTGCATGTGGTATGGTAATGTGAGGACTGTACCATACTATTTTAGTAAGCTATAACAGGACAAATAAATGTTATTCTCTACCAAATTTCCAAGAGTGTTTTCAAAAGGATTAAGTAGAGTGCGGAAAGATACTCACTATGTTTACTTCCTGACAGTGGTGATAATAAATTAAATAATGTTTGAATTTTTAAAAGGCATTTTTGATAAGCATTTTCTGTCTGTAGTTTCCACCACAATGATTGACACCAGAACTGAAGATATATGCACCAGAAGTTCTAGTTATTTAAATTGTTAGGAGGCAGAATAAGAACTACGTGCTCAGTAACAGAACACAAGTGTTCCCCATTAATGCTAAGATATATCTATTTTTTTAAATATTAAAAAAAGTGTTGTAATCTTGTACTACTGAGATGATATAGCCAAACTGTCCAATTACATATGCTAAAATGGCTGTGGAGCATAGCGTTTTGATTGTTTCCTTACAGTTACTCCAGGGATGCCGTCATTACCACGAATGCCTCTGTCACCTTTAGCACCTGGTGATCCTGGAATACCTTTTTAAAAAAGGAAATTATATGAAACATACACATATGAGCTTCTTTGCTCTCATACAATCTAATATTCTTCACATATTAGTTTCAGAGGTAAAAATATGCATAAATATTAAAACATAGTTGGAAAAAGCATATAAGCTGTTTACTAAGGTCTAAGAAGGTAAATTTTGATGTAAATATTTTTTATAAATTTAAGAAAATTTTTCTTTTTGGTTTCTTGAGTAGAGATGGGCATGAACCACCGGTTAGTCGGTTCATGCCTGTTTGTTTACTGGCTCAACTGGTGATTCCAAGCTCTGCCTTCCTCTGGCAGGCACCCAGAGGCAGCCCGCTGGTTTCCCTGCCCACCTCTTCTAGGTCCTGAGTGGGTGCCTGTCAGTAAACAAACAGGGATGAACTGCTGAACTGGCAGCTTGTATCCATCTCTAGTCTTGAGCTGATCACCATGGAGTGCCAGTGGAGCTATATCTTCTCCCTAGATGAAAGTGAAAAGGAAAAAGATAAGACATCCCTGTAATGTTACAGCATTGATGGGAATGAAGGATATGCCTTATATCCCCAAGGAAAAATAATAATGATCAGGTGAACATTTTTGAAACAAGATAAGGGAAAGGGGATATACTACCTTGCCAAAAAATGAAAAACAAAAACTTTACAATATAGCATACTATTGTAGGGGACGTATGACACTTGTGGAACATTTATCATCCAAACAGCTACTACCTGACACAATGGCTACACTTACTAGGCAGATCTAGGAAGGATGAATAAGAGGAAAATTGGGACTTATTGTCTAATCCATTTCATCGGACAGTAAGGAAGGTATTCTCACTCTTTCAGGAATTATCCTTCCTATCAACTGGGTGGAATTGCACAGCAATCTAATGTGGATACCTACCACCCTCTGCCCCCAATTCAGCACTTGGTAGGCCCCATCTACTGTGTCCAAATCTGGACACCACACTTTAAGAAGGATATCAACAAATTGGAACAGAGAAGGGCAACAAGGAAGACCAAATCCTGTATGGAAAGACTGAAAGAACTTGGCATGTTTAGCCTTGACAAAAGAAGACTTGGGGGAGATATTTTAACACTTTTCAAATACTTGAAAGGTATAGAGGAGGGGCAGAATCTGTTCTCAATCAGCCCAGAGTGTAGGGCATGTAATAACAGGTTCAAGCTACAGGAGCCAGATTTAGGAATATAAGGAAAAACCTCTTAACTGTTGGAGCAGTACGACAATGGAATCAATTGTCTTGGGAAGTGGTGAGTGCTCCAGCACTGGAGGCGTTCAAGAGAAATTTAGACAAATATCTGCCTTGCTTTGGATTCCTGCATTGAGCAGAGTTGGACTCAATGGCCTTATAGGCTCTTTCCAATGAATGTGAAATTCCACCCAGCTGATATTACACAATTTTTGATGTTTCTAGCATTTTGTAGATGAAACCATCTGACAAATGCAGTAATAGGAATACAGTGCAAATCCTGGAGGACTGTTTCTTTCTGGTCTAGTAAAGCTCTTGTTTTGTACTTTACCTGGTTCCCCTGGAAACCCTTGGGGGCCTGGTGGTCCAGGAAGGCCAGGAAGATCACAGGTAAAACAGCCTTCACCCTTTTCACCTGTATTAAGAAACAGATATTGTGAGGCTTCTGTTCAAAACTCTCTACAAACCAAATGGTAATTTTTTTTATATAGGACAGTTTCAAGTTGGTATCTCAAAACACATGAACATTTTAGACCAAATTTCATAATAGATATTTTAGTCTACATTATTTCAATATGATTGTGAAATTCTACAATTGGGAGTGGATACCAACATCTGTGATAGCAGTGCAGCTGTGCTTGAGAGTGTCCTTATGCCTCAAAAGACATTTATAACTTCTTACAGTAAAACGCAAACAAATAAACTTCTTATAACAACCAGCAACAGCAAGCAGCGTCACGTTGTTTTGCTAATCTACAACTTTTTCAACAATTTTGTCTTTCCTGGAAGGAACAAAGTAGAACTGGTGAGAGATAAAATGTCATTCTCTTATTAACCACAAGCCAGAGGGCTTTGGTGGGAGCAGGGCCCAAAGGTCTGAAGAGGGAGTGGTGAGATGATTAAAATGTAATTAGAATTCAGACTGGTTGGGAAGGTTATTTTGGAGTAAAGAAGTGGTGAAAGGAAGTCAATAATGGTTTCTTTGGGGAGTCAAGTGCGGCCATGGACACCTAACATGTCATGAAGGAACATAGCAGAAATGGTCAGTCTGTCACAAGATATGAGCAACTGAAAATACCCTGATCACTGTGCCTTACAGCAATTTCCAAAGTTGCATCATGGCAACTTCCACAATAGCCCGCAGAATTTTAAATGTTGAATAACAACTGACAAACAACTGATCCAGTGCAGTGTTTCAAGTTATGAAACTATTAAACAAAATATAAGTCATATGATTTTTGGCAATTAATTCAATTTTGTGCAAAAATTAGGAGTTTTTTTGCATAAAACAGACAATTTTGCACAATACATTGATCTTACCAATGTGAGAACATTCTCAAAAGTGTCAGGAAATTCTCTGCCATCCTCATTGATGAGGAAAATAATGCTACAGTTCATCATGTTCAAGAGTGAGAACTAGAGCAGCAGGGATTCCCATTACTATTCTCTGCTAAATTAAGTGGAATTCTCTTTAGTCCACCAGGATACCATCACCTTGACTTGAAGTCCAACTCACTTTCTGCCAAGTGTTGAGTGCTGGGTGTTCAAATGTAGAGCATAACCAGAAGAAGAGATTCTGTTGTTCTGCATAGATCAGCACATCCTGCCTCACCTACCAACAATTTCAGAGTATGACAAGCTTTCAATAATAATGCTGAGGGAATTTTACCGTGGAACAAACTCCATAGATTAAAGACAGACAGCTGCAATCCTTTTTTGCTGTCCTTGCTTATAATTGTACATTCACTGTCCTTGCTTATAATTGTACATTATATAAGCATCTGATTGTGCTAAGGCTAATATGGATTTTAATGTTAGATGACACTATGGGAAGGCTAAAAATGGATAATTGATACAAGTATATTTTGGTATGAACATGTAGTTGAAAATACAGTGGTGCCCCGCATAACGAGCGCTTTGTTTAACGACGAATCTGCATAGCAATGTTTTTTTAATCGCTTTTGCGATCGCATTGCGATGTTTTAAGTGGGAAAACATCGCTTTGCGAAGATCGGTAAGCTGTTTCACCTACCGATTATGGCATAACAATGTTTTTCCAACAGCTGATCGGCGGTTCCAAAATGGCCACCGGGTAAAGAAAGTGGCCGCCCGCTGTGTTTTCGTGCCCTTTCCTTGCTTACCGGGCAGCGAAAATGGCGGCCATATGGAGGATTTTTGCAGAACGGTGAGTTTTTTGCCCATAGGAACACATTAAACGACAAATCTGTATAGCGACGATTTTTTCGGAACAGATTATCATCGCTATGCGGGGCACCACTGTATGCAGAAAAATATAGAAGAGATGTGGAAAATTAATGAGGAAGGAGGAGCAAAAATGCATATGCTGTGGGATACAGTTGAATATAAAAGAATCATACAATTTATAAAAAGAAGATAAACAGTTGAAAGTATTAGAAGAAAATATTAAGGAATTAAAAAGTTAATAATGTCTAGAGATCCTAAAATAATGTTTGAGTTACAAATAAAGAGGAAAGAATTAACAGGGATTTAAACAGAAAAAGTTCAGTGGAATTTAAAATATTTTAAAAAATAATATTTTGAAGAAACAGAAATTCTAAATTATTACCAGGATAATAACTAAAGAAAGCTAAAAATAATGCAGGAGTGATTACAGATGAAAATAATAAGATATAATAAAATGAAAGACAAAATGGAGGTGTTTCAAGATTTTTTAAAAAATTATGCATTCATAATAATATATTATCAGAGAGAGCTGAATTATTTATAGAGGAAAAAGTAAAGAAAAAATTACAAAATATGGATAAGGAAAAGATGGAACAAAATATCACTGAGAGGGAGATAGAAAAGGTAAGAAACATATTAAAGGTAGGAAAATCATCAGGCTTAGATGCACTATGTGTGGAATATTACAAGATATTCAAAAAATTTCTTATGTCTAAATGAGAACCTTTTTCTAAATAAAATTTTAAACAGGGAAGCATTTGTTTATTGTATTAATATTGAAAATGGGTAAAGACCTAATGACTATGGGATCTTGTAGACCAACATCATGAATAAATCAAGATGTTATGATATTTAAGCTATTATGACTAAAAGACAGAACAATTTTATAGACAACTACGGTAAATGGATTTTGATATGTAGGCAATTGGCTGATTAGTAAAAAGGGTGTTTAACATAATATAATAAAAGAATAAAAAAAATAAAGGCAGAGAAATTGGCATTAGATATTTTTAAAGCTCCCTTTCTTAGATGTCATGGTCATATGCAAACTGACCTCCTATTGGGACACAAGGTCTACAGAAAACTCACCCACACAGACTGGTACCTACACAAAATTCCAACTACCACCCATGACAAAAAAGAGGCATAATCAAAACACTGATAGACCATGCAAATCAGAACTGTGAAGCTCAATTTCTCAGCACTGAACTCAACCACCTGAATGGGGCCCTGCAGGCAAATGGCTATTCCAAGAATGAAATTACAAGGGAATCAAACTGCAAAAACAACACCAAACTGAAGAGGAAAACAGCCACCCACAAATAAAGTATTTATGCCATACTGTACATCAAAGGAATCACAGACCACATGGGGAAACTGTTGAAAAAACACAACCTACAAACAGTATTCAGGTCCACCACAAAAACACAACAAATGTTAGGGTCAGCAAATGACAAAAGGCCCCCCCTCACCACTGCAGGAGTATATTGGATAACTTGCAGTTTTGGCCAGGTATATATTGGGACCACAAAATGCAGCATCCACACCAGAATCAAAGAACATGAAAGAGACTGCAGACTAAAACAAGTGGAAAAATCAGCAGTCGCTGAACATGCCCTAAAACAAGCTGGACATGAAATTCTATTTCAAAATACTGAATTACTGGACAACACCAGGAATCATTATGTTAGACTGCACAGGAAAGCCATTGAAATCCACAAACACCAGCACAGCTTCAACAAAAAGGAAGAAAGTCTAAAACTCAACAAAGCCTGGCTCCCAGCCTACAAAAAGGTCAACATATTCTACCCAGCCACAAGGATCACTGCACACAAAATACTAGCTAACAACACCCATCAATCACAGCACTGTCATCTCCCCCTTATCAAAACAATATACCCATAACAAAAAACACCCTGATCACCATAATCACCTAATCTTCTGAAAAAGACAAAAAGCTGATCCCATAGCTACAAATACAGTGGTGCCTCGCTTAACGAGTGCCTCGCTGAGCGATGAAATCGCTTAACGAGGCACTCTGGGCCATCGCTGGAGCATTCGCTCAGCGATGGCCCCTATGGGGTTTTTTCGCTTTGTGAAGATTGCTAAGCGATTCGCTTAGCGATCTTCGCATAACGAAGCTGGGAAAACAGCTGATCGG